CTTGCCTTGCCTTATTATATGCATAGATTAACCTCGCGCCGCATGTTTACAACATCCCGTGACTTACAAGTCAGTGAACGTCGCGCATTGACTCACGGGAAATTTGTTGAAAAAATGGCAGATACATTTAAAATCGAGGTTTACAACCGAAGGTAAATAAACAAATGAAACTATTTTAAAGTTTTTTAGAATGTTTAATAGATAGAAATATAGATCCGTATGACGCGATTGGGACTTTAACAGAGCTGTAGAACATATTGATGGGAACAAAAAAGTTAAAGGAAACGTGCCTCATGGGAATTTGTAAAGAACGCCCACTAAGGGACGTTCCGAGCTACTACTATTTTGATTTTTTATCATCAAAACATTACACATTTTTGGTAGGCAGCAACTAAGTCAGTTGCTGTATATCAAAAATACCACTTTGGCATAAGGGCCACCAATAAAAGAAAAATTCAACAATACGAAACAATTACATATGAAGTAGAATGAAACGATTAAAACAAATTCACTAGTCCAAGTAATGTAAAGTTAAACACCGATCCACATAAATCAAACAACATGGAAATATCCTGCATAGAGTTGCGTGCTTTTCTCGGCTACAGTTAAAAGAAATAGACCCACCTGTTAGCAAATCCAATATAATCGAAATGGGTTGATATAATGATAATAATAAACCCAGAGCAAAAACGATTAGGAGTTAAAAGTTGAAATTTGGTACACAGTTAGGGTTTACCCTAAGCCATGAGAATGCAAACTATAAACGGTTTTTTTAAAAAATTCACCCGGCGGAATGGAGATAGACAGTTTAAAAATACCTTAAGAAAGTCGCTTTCTACTGTACGATTTTAGAAGTTATTTGGGTTTTTGCGAAATATTGAACTATGCACATAAGAAAATAGTCTAATTAGCATCAACAGAAATGAAAAAAAGACAAACTATATAAACTAAATATAAACTAAACACTATAATATGATAGTGTTTACAGGTTAGAAGTACAAAATCATGTATAATAAACTTAATGTTTGCTGTTGATATTTTAACTAACCTACGCTGGGCTAATCTGCTAGCTTTTATGTAGGCCTATAGACTTTTAAATTATTATTAGATATGAAATATAAAACCTATTAATTGTATAAAAATTATAAAAACATCCCAGACAAAGAAAATATAACTCAGAAATAATTGATTTCCAACCTAATTAACTACAGTGTTGTTAAAACCGAAAACGGCCGGCGACGGGTGGGTTTCCCTTGGACCTGACATTTTACTTAGAACACCGAGGATTAGAAAACAATATTTTAATAAATAAATCAAGAGTTGTGGATTTGAGTCTCATTCTGGACAATTATTTCCTTTGGACAATATCTTTTGGGATAGACCAGGGGTCGCCAAACTTTTTTAACCGTCAACCCCCAACCACTTTCCAAAGCCTCACATTGACCCCATCGTAAAGTTTTATTACAAGTGTATGTGTATGAGCAAAAAAAAAAANCACTTTCCAAAGCCTCACATTGACCCCATCGTAAAGTTTTATTACAAGTGTATGTGTATGAGCAAAAAAAAAAAAAAAAAAAAACGTTGTGACCCCTTAGCCGCATCGACGCCTCAATCGACCCCCTAATCGACCCCTAGGCGCATCGACCCCCCAATGATGTTGCATCAACCACTTTGGCGACCCCTAGTCTATACAGACAAAATCTATATCTATATACAAAAGGTCTCAAATAGCGGAGGGTCGAATCTGACACGATTTCAATACTTTGCCTAGTTATGTATACATAACAGCTGGGAAAGTAAAACCGTCATCACTATTGCAGTAGTGTTGAACACTTTTTGTGTTCAAGATGAATTCTACGAAAACAAGAACGTAATTAGAAAAAAGGAGTGCAGAAATTTGTTAGTCTTTCTCGGGATGGCCACGAAATTTCTGTTACGAGTAGTCTATATTGGGAACAATTAAGCGAAGCCCTTGAGGCAAGCGGTGGGTTGGGTTATCATACTCCCCTATTGCTCATAAAGCTTCACTTGTATAATTTTTATGTTGTTTTAATTTTTAATAAAAGAAGAAAAATCGACAAGATTGATACATAATCGTTATTTATTTGTTTATGCACAAATTTCAACCCATTCATTCATATAATTATTATAATTTTGCATAAATAAACATATTTTTGTAGAGATTGCCGGATTTATGATACATTTTTCTGAATTTGAGGGTGTTTTTGCGTTATGAAGAAAAATAGAATGAAAACGACGCATGAAAAATAATTTTCAATGTTCCATTGCGTATCTCTCAGTCCATTCTTTCGCTTTTTTGTTGTATCTTTTCTTATCTCTCTTGTATAATTCGGCAATTTCTTCATCTAACGAATCTTCGGTGTTCGGATCGCAGAGAAGCGAACATATAGAAAGTAGCAATTTGGGAATGGTCAGCGCTGGAGACCAATTTTCTTCTAAAATATCCAAAACAAATGCTAACATTTATATTGATGTTTGGATAATAAATTTTGGTTTCGAATTTAATTTCAGGTGGTTGAAACGGGTAATCGATGGAGAAGAAAATTTTGAGAAAGAAGACACCTCCTTCGTATGGTCTATCGGGTGGACCCATTATAGTAGCTTACCATTCAAACATGTTGTCGTCGATAGGTCCCGCCGAACAATTAGCTGGTGGATCTCTTGTGATACTGATCAATTCCCTTTTAATTCGCCACAGAGCCGTTCTCCTCGACATTTTCAAACTGTTGTTACTTGAGATAGGTAGTAAAACAATAAAAAAATATATCAAACAGTTAATCAATTGTTTCCCTTATTAACCAGAGATTAATTGTTGTTAATATGATAATACAAACACTTAATCTAAATTTAGTATTTTAATGATAATCAAATTATCAATTCAAATTACAAATTTTCAATTTTTTAAAAATGATTTATTATTTTTAATCCTAGAAAAAAACGATTAATAGATTGAAAAGTATTTTTCGGCTTTAAATGTTTACAAAATAAAGAATCTTTCATATTTTAGAGATAACGCCATTTTTTTAAATAAAATATACGCGACGTCACATTTGCCAATTAAAAAATGTAGAGGGCCAAAAATGACGTCAGAATATTTACATTTTTAAAACTAATTCTCATTTAAATCGTTTTAAAGTTTAAAATTTTGTGAAAAAATGCGATAATAAAAATTATTGAATTAATAAAATGCAATAAACTTAATTTTACATGCAATTAAAATCTATGAATTGAAAAGAATTCGCGACTACATTTAGTGACGTCACATCATTTAAATCAGGGGTCGCCAAACTTTTTTAACTGTCGACCCCCAATCACTTTCCAAAGCCTCACATTGACCCCCCACCATATAGTTTTATTACAAGTGTATGTGTATGAGCGAAAAAAAAACGTCGTAGGTTGTGGTTTCTGTGTAAACAAAAAAAAAAAAAAAGGGTTGTGACCCCTTAGCCGCAACAATCCCCTAATCGACCCCCTAGCTGCAATGATGTTGCATCGACCCCTGAGGGTCCATATCGACACTTTGGCGACCCCTGGGATAGACAATGGACAATGTCTTTTTATAATATTCTAAATTTAAAATTAATTTAATTCTAATTTCGAAATTTATTAGGAGAACAGCTAAACCATCTATCTCTAGCCAAACTGATTTGTTATGTAATTAGTTATTAGGCTCAACATAGCCCAATAGATAATCTGACAGATCATTTGGTAGTAGAAATGTGCTGGGGTGTTGTTTATTATGTAAATTAATCAATCCGCAAGAAGGAAGTGCAAGCTACCCGTTCTTTCACAGTTAAGAAAATATTGTGGCAATATAAATTAAAACTTTCAGTTGTACGAAATATGTTGTAAATTCCCTATCTTACAATGGTGGAAGCAATTGTTTCCAATCAAACCCCAACCACTCGTAATGTAATTTGAGTAAATTTTCTTTTTAGCGAAGTTTTACATTTAACAAATATTCTGCCAAACCCGAGAGAAAAGAATTTGTTAAAAATAAACTTTCCTTTAAAAAATGCAATTAAAATACTCGAAATATTACATCTATGACGTAAAACTCGTGACGTAACGCGTGACGCATTGCAACGACAAATTCGAATTCGTTCCATTTCGTATTGTTGCCGACGCCATCTTGGAAATTTATGCTTTCCGGAAATTGCGAGTTCTTTTTCCCTCCATTTTAACATTTTTCGTACAAATTTTAATAATGAAAACTCGCGTAACGTAGGTAACTTAATATTTTTCGATTTATATCAAAATTAAATAATTTAAATTAGATACGCTTTAAACCTAGATTTGCGGCCTGTAACCTGTAAGGTTACGGAATGCGTTTTTATAATTTTATTTATTATTACAAATATCTTAGCGATATTTTACAAAAAAAGAGGACTATTTTAGCATTTTAAAGAAAACATTTGCAATTAGTTAATATTCTGACGTAGAACTTATGACGTAACGTGTGACGCATTTATCGCACGTTCCACCGATTCGAATTCGTTCGATTTCGTATTGCCGACGCCATCTTGAAATAGAAAGTTTTCTGGAAATTGCGAGTTATTTTTCCCTCCATTTCGAGATTTTTCGTAAATGTTTAATTACATAAACCCGAATAACGCAGGCAATGTAACGTTTTTTATTTATAAGCGATCAAAATTGAATAATTGTCGATAGAATATTAAATGTAAAAGTCTTAAATTTTTACTTAAAATATTTAAGGTTGTTTCCACTTAGCATCGAATTAAATTATCAGATTATAAATGATATTCGCTTGCATATTGTCTTATATTCTTTTGAATGAAACAATAAATGTCCTGTATTAAAAAATTATTTTAATATTAAATTAATTAATTAGCTAATGAATCATCTCGATCTTTTCTATTCTTAATATTTAAATTCTTAAATTATTCTAGGAAGAAGTATCATTCTCAAATTTTATAATCCACTTTCCAAAGAGACATGGAATCATTTTAAAAACTTCTTGTGCTAAAAAAATTAACAAGAAGCAAAACAAAGGAAAGGTAAGACTTTTTTATTTTCATTCTAATTTGTTATGTATTCTGTACATTGATGCAGTAGAAAATAGTATATAAAAGTTTAGAATCCTCATTGATGAATCTAAGAATTTATTGTAGTAGAATGATGTTTGAATAATAATTTTATTCATTTATGCCATTTAGAATAATATGAATTACAATTTTACTTAGAAAAATTAATTTATTGTTAAAAAACAGAACTTTACAACTTATGTATTATTTATTTCAATGATACAGATAAATTTTAAAAAACATGTTTAACACACTGCAAAAACAATCCATTCAAACTTCACACCAATGCACTTGATTGGTTAGGTACCATTGGCAAAACTCCAAATTATCTAAAATTATTAGGTAGTCCTCTCAATTGTCCACAGTTATATTTTTGTCTCTATACTATCTGTTTCTATACTTTCCTGCTGACAACACATACATCTCTCACTGTGTGATGGGCTGGTGTAGCTTGCCTGCCTTGTTGGTTGTACCCAGAGAAGATCATGTCTGCTTCTTTGTGTGGTGATGTTGACCAATGTAATCTGCTCCATCATACTATCTGTCCATTTGTTTATCACCTCCTGGAGAGTGAATTCCATCACCTCTACAAGTGTGGCAGGGTTATGTGACAAAATAAAGAGACAGGTCTTGAGGATAGAACTCTCCTGAAGGAAGGGATATCTAAAGGTTGAAAGTGATTCAGACTGAGGGTCTGTAGTCTCCCACCAAACACAAAATGAAATGAACCCCAAACCTTGAAAAGCACCACAAGGACTTATTTAAACTCTCTGTATATGCTTCAAAAGGAATAATTTTAAATCTTTTAAACAGGTCTCTGAAAACTTAACTTTATAAAGATGATCATTTCCTGATAACTCCACTAACTCTCTTTGATACTTTTTCTAACAATTGAAGGAAATACTGTGCAGAAGGTTAATGCTGACCCCAAGAATAGCAGTAATGGGGCAATGTATACTCTGCCAGTGCCAGTAGTACTTTCTGAAGTTGACTTTTGTTAATAAATTTTTTAGATAATCAACTCTACTGTATAGTAAAAAAATTTTGAATTCCTAGTTTGTTGCCCATATGACTAATGCTTTAAGAATTCTTGACCTAAGAAAGTTCATTGTAAGAAAACTCATTAATCTAAAATAGTTTTCTGGACCTTATGCTGAAATTCCCTGGTATAGAAAAAAAAAATTGATGGGATTGGAGAATTGAATGACAGGAGTTGGGAAGTGTCAAGGATGTCCACCCAAAAGAAACTATCTGAAAGACCTGTCAAATCAAGGAACTGACTTTAGAGATTTTGAATGGGTTGATCGGATAGTTGGTTACATATTCAGAATGTTCTGGAAAGATCCCAAAAAACAAACACTGAAAGACCTATAAATAGTTTTATGATCAATACTAGGGAACTGCCAAACAGGAAGATAACAGAAATAATTCTGGGAAGTTACATGAAGGAAGAGCAAAACAGAGAGTCTCAGTTCAATGCATCCTTACCATACTGTAGTTATGGTTCTTCAGTAATTTAAAGTAAGTAATGTCATCTGATAAAAACTCTGAAGGGAAAAAACATCATGGTGGAGGTGTCTTGTAGTCTGTCAATGATTTTAAAAGTTCATTCCAAGATTGAAAGGAAACTCAAAATCCTTTATGAGATCCTTAATTATTGATTGCTGGAGTGTGAGCATTTGTCAAACCATCAATCCATAAATAATGTAACAAAAGTGGCATTATTTCACCTGACCTGGATGGGAAAGGAAATTCAGCAGAATCAGGGATTCAGGCAGTACAGATGTTGCTGTGAAGACTGGCATTCATTGAAGTATTCACTTTGTCGGAGTAAACAAAAATTTGTTTGTTTTGTTACTCTCTAACAAAAATAAGTTTGAAATGATTGAGATAGAGTATATTGAGATTGAGAGTAGCTAATATGCAAATAAGTACTGTAATATTTCTTTTAGCTAAATTTGGGACATTGATTAAACTCAGTTTACAGCTAAAAATTACAAAATGCAATCATACAAGAGCAAATATGGTAAATTTTCAAACAGTTTATTAAAGACTTTAATAATGCAATAATATAAACTATACCAGTCAAGACAAAAAAGTCATATCACACAATCAGTTAATTCCAAAATATTTTTATTATAGAGTTATTCTTTGCATAAATTCTGAGAAGGATATAATGTATTTACCTACTTTTAATTATCTTTTGTAATTACTGTTTATGTATTATTATTGATATAATGTTAATGATTATAATTATAAAGTCTGTGTGGGTTCACACACACACACATACATAGCTTTGGTGTTGTATTTATTGGATTTAGATTTTTTGAACCTTAAAATTAGATAGTGTAATGGCAAATTCTGCTAATACTCCTAAACTTTTTGCATTCACAAAGATCCATAAATCAGGCAACACTATATGAACTGTAATGTCATGCTGCGTACTTGCATTTTAGAAAATGCTATTCATAATCTATTTAAAGATTATTTAAAAACCTATAGATTATCCATCAGTAAAACAGAGCAAACAATTGATGATTTGTGATAGACAACTTACAGGAGATGTTTATATTACAGTCTTAGTCTTTATACTGTACCTGTGTTCCACTTAATACAAATTACAACAAATTTTTGCCCTGTTAGACATTTATTACATAAAAGCAATAAGCAAGTCATTGCAAATTTATCCTGAATTTAAGCACATACTTCA